TGTGTGTGTGTGTGTGTGTGTGTGTGTGTGTGTGTGTGTGTGTGTGTGTGCGCATGCCTAAAGAGGTCAGAAGTAGCTGGATCCCATTTGTCAGCTACCCAACATAGGTGCTGGAAATTGAATTTGGGTCCTCTGGAAGAGTAGTATGTGCTCTTAACCCCTATGCCATTCAGATTCAAAATATATTTTTTTTACTAATTAACTTATGTATTTTACATCCAGACTCTAGCCTCCCTCCCTCCTCTTCTCCCACTCCGTCTCCCCACTTTCCCTCTGCCTTCCTCTCAATCTACCCCTCCTCCATATTCGCTCAGAAAGTGGCAGGCCTCCTCTGGGCATCAGCAAAACAGGGCATATCAAGCTACCATAAGACCAAGCACCTTCTCCTGTATTCAGGCTGGGCAAGGGCAATCCAGCATGAGGAATAGGTTTCCAAGAGCCAGCCAAAAGCATCAGGGAGAACCCTGCTCCCATTTCCAGGAATCTCACAAGTAGACCACGCTACACAACTGTCACATCTATGCAGAGAGCCTAGATTGGTCCCATGCAGACTCCCTGGTTGTTGGTTCAGATTCTGTGAGTTCCCGTAAGCCAGGCTAACTGTTTCTGTGGGTTTTCATCTGATGTCCCTGATTACCCCCTGGTTCCTATAAATCCCCCCTTCCTCTCCTCAGCAGGACTCCCCAAACTCCTCCCAATGTTTGGCCATGGGTCTCTGAATCTGCCTCCATCAGGCACTGAATGAAGGTTCTCTGATGACAACCTGGGTAATCACCAATTCAATCACGGGGATGACCTGTTCAGGCTATGCTGCCAGGAGCCTTAGCTGGGGCTATCCTTGTAGACTCATGGAAGTTTCTCTTCTATCAGGCTTCTACCCGACTCCATAAAGCACCCTTCCCCAGTCATCTTTTTCAGCACTCTCCCCTTTCTCCCACCCCACCCCCCAATCCCTGAAGTTTCCATGCCTACCCACCCCCAATCCAACCAGCAGATCTCTATTTCCCCTTCCCTGGGAGAACCATATGTCCCCCTTGGGCCCTCCTTGTTACCTAGCCTCTCTAGGTAAAATTTATCATTTTTAAACAGACTACATTCAAGTCTACTTTTATGCCATTATACTGTTTTATCTTCTTTGTATCATTTAACATCTAAAGTATTTTACTTATGTATTGCACCCATTATGACTGCTGAATAAGCCATGGAAATAAGATCTTGTGCTGTACATGAAAACCAAGGCACAGATACAATTCTCTCAGACATTTTATCTTAATTCTATCTTTTTCCATCCTATTCATAAGCAAGACTGTTTTTCTATGTACAAAATAAAAATTATAATAAAGATCATTGACATTCTTAAGTGAAAAGCAAATTCTAATAACACTAAAAATTAGATCTTTATTTAAATTTATGCAAGTTAAGCTTTAAACCAATCATAAATGACTCCATTACTTTACTAGAACAGAACAGGGGAAGAAAGGGGAAAACTAGACTTACTGACCCTTTTTCAACATTTTCTTCTTTGTTGCAAGGGCAGATAAAGTAAGTGCATGAGCAAATTTTGTATCTTCTTTAACCTTAGATGATCCTGATAAGAAAAATCACAGAATACAAAAATTTCTTACTCTGCCTTCTTAGGTACTTTATATATTCTGCAACTTGGCATATTACTTTAATTAAATAAAAATAGTATTTGGTAAGTAGCAAGCCATTTATGACACTAAGCATATCCCTATAGCTCAGAGAAATGATGTAATCACATCCCAGCTGTTACTTCTCTTAAAAGAAAAATCAGGAACAGACAAATGCAAAGAGATTCAGCTCTCAGGAAAAAAAAGCTGTACCAGTATGAAGCTGCTAAATTTCATATCAGTCTAATGGTGATAAGCTGTTTTCCAAATGTAATTTCTCAGTTAATGAGAAAGACAATATGATTTGAAGTAATAGGAAAATAAAGCATATTGCAAAGATGAAATAAATGGTATACATTGTTTTCTATGTGCATAATGTGAATACTGCCAAGAAGGCACTCCAAACTTGTTCGTTAAGCTTGTGTGTGTGTGTGTGTGTGTGTTTGCACAAGCATGCCAGCATTTGTATATGTGTGTGTACATGCTTGTGCGCACTTATGTAAAAAATAAAAAGTTTTATTCAATTTAATTTGTAAGTAGTAGAAAACAACTGTTTTGTTTAAAGTTGGTTTAAATATTATCCATTAGATTTTTAACTTGAAATTATTCGTTGAATTTGCATAATTTAACACATAGTAAGTTCATGAAAAGTTCAAATGCAGGAAAAAGTTCAAAAGCAGACAAATTTTATACTATTGCTAAAGATCTTCCAAGCTAACAAGACGTCAATTAATGATTGTTTTATTTTAAAAATATTTACATGAAGGTTATGCTATGTAAGTACTGAGATGTAATATACACCTACCTTTTACTCTATTTTTAGTATCTGACTGTGCATTTTTCAGCTTGCCTAAAATAAAAAAAATAATAAAAATGGATACACTAGGAGATAAGACTATATGACAGTGTAAAATCAAGTCATATTACCTTTCATTTTCTGTGGAGGTTCACTAGTTTCAATTTCCTCTGAATCACTGCTTTCAATGTACTGAACAGCAATTTTTCTTCTGAAATTGAAGAGATTCAAAATAAAATACAATAAAGCAATATGTTTAATAAATGCAATACAGAAGTTGTTTAACTCCTATTTGCTTTTAAATTTTTTTTCCAAAAAGCTCTTTTATTTGCCAAGCAAATGTCAAACATGCTAAAAAGCTTATTTTTTTTAATGACCAGACAGCTGAATTTGTAAAATATAGTACCACTAAGATTACATTTGAAAAGTCATTCACATAGAGTTCAATGTTCAGTCATTCAACTAAAACATGTAACATTAGAACCAAAAATTGGCAATGTGGAAGAGAGCAGATGACAACTACATGCGGATTGCTAAATTCACAAGGAAGTAAAGCAGGGACTGTGAGAGCCACTGTCCTTGGAGGGGAGTGATGACAGGAAAACACTAGCTTTAGTAGCAAAGAAATACCGAATAAACAGAACAGGAATGTCCAGAGTTGATTCAAAGCACTCAAGTCCCAAATGGGGCATGCTCTCTTCCCCAAAGAGGGCGGAGAACAACTAGGGAGGATGGAGATCTCAGCTTAGGACAAACAGAGCTTCAGATAGTCCTACTCTCAGTATAAGAAAATTTATAGGGCAGAAAAAGAAGGGAGGCAGGGCTGACATCTGTACAGCCAATTTGTACAACATCTGTACAAATCTTCAGAGTCGGGGTGGAATCCAAAGACAAAAATAAATAAATAAATAAATAAATAAATAAATAAATAAATAAATAAATAAATAAATAAGCCACAGGGGGAAAAAATGCCAGCCACAGCACTGAGAAGATTTACAGTTCCAGCAGACAGTAATTTGGGGGCACATATTCCACATTCATATCTTTCAGTATTTGGCTGGAGCAGAGGTAACACGTCATTTAAAAAGACATATGCTTTGTTAGCAGCTTGGTGGATGTACATGCAAAGCTCTTCTTTGCATCACCCAGGACAAGTGTCAGGGGACTATTTTGAGTCCTGGAATGCAAAACAGTTCTAACAGGGGTGGTGGTGGTGGGTGGGAGCTCTGACCCGAAGCACACAGTGTTCTTAAGTAGTAGCAATGGGGTCTGAACCATGAACTAGAGTAAGACTCACTGGTTCTTCAGAAGTGGGGCATGAAGTAGCAAGAACTTAAAAGTTAACTAGAGCTGGGCAGTGGTGGAGCATGCCTTTAATCCCAGCACTCGGAAGGCAGAGCCAGGTGGATCTCTGTGAGTTTGAGGCCAGCCTCGTCTACAGAGTGAGACCCAGGACAGGCACCAAAACTACACAGAGAAACCCTGTCTCAAAAAAACAAAAACAAAAAAGTTAACTAGGGCACCTGACACTGGAAACCTTGCTGGCATCCCTTTCTAGTGTCTACAGACTGACAGACATGTCTATAGTTACAATGCCCACAAAGTACAACCTCTGGAAATAAGGCAAACAAAACAAAGATCAACCAACACAGGAAGTTTAATATCACAAAGCTTCTCCTATCACCAGAAAACACCAACCCAAAGCGAGAAGAAAACATATAACAGTGTTGAGATAATATGATACCTTCACTCATGTAAGTGTTGGCTCAGACATCTTCTGTACTGAGGTATGTGACCACATAGAGAAAATCACCTGTATACACACAAGTGACCACACTGAGATAGTCTGTACCTACATGCAGTAAGTGACTGCAAATAGTTTGCAAATGAACATATATAAATAGCTTCAGAGAGATGGGTAGAGATTCATTGGGTCTGCACTAGCTTTGTCAACAGTCAGTCATACGGAGAGGAGTTCATGGGGCCCTATTCCTCCCTGCTGTATTAGTAGATACTGATAGATTTTGAGAGGGGAAGTATCTTGATCAAAAGCCCCTGGCTGGGAAGTTCAAAAGCTCTAAGGTAGAACCTACTATTGTTTTGATAAATGGTCATGTTGTCAAATCACCTTCTACATATGTTTACACCTATAGACTTGGGCTGTTCTTAATCTCAGTGAGAGTAGTTTCTTTTTACAGTAAACTGCAGTCAATGCAGACATTCACAATGGATCAAAGTGCTGAAAATAAGAGATTAAGTGCTCAGCCCAAGTGAGACATCTCTGTCATCCCTTATTCTCTAATAAGGGGCATGGAATGTTGGCGAAGAGGACACAAAAAACAATGTATGAGCTGGTAGATGGAGAGGAACAAAGCTACAACTGTGGTTACTCACTACATGAACTCACTACAACTGTGGTTACCTAAACACAGTAAGGACAGTTAAAATCCTGACACAGATTGAGGTTTTCTCCAGGCCCCACCCATTCCTGAGGAGCTAATGGAAGCTGACAGTTGCTAGAAGAAAGAGAACCATTCTTTTTTGAGTGTGGCTACTGTTAGGTTTTCCATCCTCCAGTAGATGGTCCCATACCCATGAATTTATGGGCAACACTAACTAGACTTAGTGGTTTATCAAAAAAAGAAAAGGAGGAGGAAGGAGGAAGAGAGGAAGAAGAAGGGGAGAAGAGCAGAAGGAGAGACAAATTGAGCAGGGAATTCAATTCCCCCAAGGAATAAATAGGGGGCATGTATGATGATATTTCACTGCATGCATGTATGAAATTCTCAAAAATAAAGAAATTTAAAAAAAAAAAAAACAAAGAAAAATACTAAACAAATAAATGATCATGGGAATGCTGCTTTGAGAATGTAAACTGGTGTGGCCACTGTAGAAGCTATAACAGGTCATCAAAAAGCTAAAAATAGAACTACTGCATGGCCCAGGTATACCACTCCTGCACATATACCCAAAAGACTGTGAGTTAACACGCTATGGAGATACAAATACATCAGTACTTACTATTGCATTATTCACAGCAGCTAAAAAAAAAATGCAACTAGCATAAATGTACCATCAACAGCCAAATGAGTAAAAATGGAATGTTACATCTACACTACACAATAGTGTTAGCCATAAAGAAAAATGAATCATGAAAAGAAAATGGATGAAATAAGCCAGACTCAGGTAAATAAATTTTGTGGATCTTAGATTGAACAAAGATATATAAAGCCATATATACTCAAAATTCTCCATACATATTTATATAACAGCAAAGCAAAGGGGATACTGGAAGAAAGAGATTAGAGGGAGGTAAGAAAAAAAAACAGAGAAAGAAGAGAAAGATGGACAAGCTATGGAGGATGAATATGGTCAAAGTACCTGGTATTGAAAAATATTGTCTTTATGAAGTCTACCCATATGTACAATATACACCAATTAAAGAAAATCTTGACAGGGCCTTTGAAAATGGAGTTATAAAAGGATTAAAAACCCTACTGTTATCAAAGAAAAGGGAAAATATAATTATTGACAGCTACTGGTAACAAAAGTCCATGGCGTATACAGCAGTGACAACTAGAGTTCAGAAGGTCAACCTATCAGAACTAAGGGTTCTGTTAGAGGAAACCATCATGCAAAGTGTTATGGAATTACTGCCTTTTGAATGAACTGGCTGTCTCTTGTTGTAAACTTCTTGTGTAATAACAGCTATGATTCTCCCCATTTACCGTGCATTTCCATGTTATGTATACATGTACTCTCATGAATGCATCTCAATCTTATGGACATACATAATTGTTGATAGTCTAGAAGATGGTTTCTTATTTAACGGTACAATTTTTAAGAATAGAAACATACTAAAATATGCTTCACACTAGATCTATTATTCCATGTGGACTGTAGACACTTAGAGGTCTTGTTCTCCATCCTTAGCCACTGACAGGGTAAATATTGGACAGACGAAGTATCTTCATAGAACTTTCACAGAGCGGAATTGCAGGTGACTGGCCTTGTTAGATCAAAATGCTTCTAACATTCTAACATAGTGAACCAGAAGTGATAGTGCAGGTGTCTGGCCTTGGCATATCTTAGTCCTTCAAGAGATCAACAGCACCTATGTTGCCCTAAGCTTCCTCCACTAGCACCTCCCATTCTGATTCAAATAACAATTAACACTTTGTATTTATTTCTACACCAGTTTTTAATGCAAGATTTTTAGGCTCAGTAGACTAATTATATGTAGGTCCTGATATTCAGGTAACTAACAGAAAAAGGCTATTAACTGACTAACCGTATCTGGATATTATTAACCACATAAAATAGTACACATATTCTTTGCCTTTTCCTTAAATCTCTCATTGGTTTAATTTCTTTCCTTGTAACTTTTGTAGGTATCCCTTTAAGAGATAGTCAGTACTTTTTACAATCTACAGCCATTGTCAATCAACAATTAAGGTGACCAGGTCTTTGCCAAGTGTGACTCTTAACAGAATGCTTGTCCCTGAGAGTTTACTTTGTAGTTTTTATGAACAAGTTGTTAATGAATGGATGGAGGTGTGTGTGTGTGTGTGTGTGTGTGTGTGTGTGTGTGTGTGTGTGTGTGAATTCATATTCTTAGGGGAACAAAGAAGGGAAGAAGATGGAAAAGACCTAGATAGATATGAGAGAACAGCAAGAAGAGAACTGATGGAGAAGAACAAAGATGAGGACTGAGATGGAAAGAACTAGATAGACATGAGAGAACAATAGAGGGGACTGAGAACAGGAGGGACGGAGAGGAGCTAAGTAAGAAAACAGGAAAAAACAAAAAACTGTGTAAATATAGAATTGACTTAGAAGAATAAGGTGAATGGACTAATGAACTCAGTGTGCTTAGATTCACTGAATATCCCTCAAATTAGAATCCTTAGCCGCTTGTAGCATCTGTTCTGGACCCTGATAGAAATCTCCTCAAGGAGGAAGTTCATTATATAATCACTGCATAAATTGTAAGTAAGAATGATGGACTTTGGAATCAGACGACCAAGATTCAAATCTTCATTCTACTAGTAACTTGCTATGACTTTATGCAAATCACCAAACTATGTCTGTTTCCTCACTTGGAAAATGGAAATAAAATATAACTGACTATATAGCGTAAATGTGACTGTATACAAAAGACCTAAAAATACTACCATTCTGAAGAATAAGCATGTCTGTAATGGCTATAGTACATACACTGGCTGCTGCTTGTACACATTTTCCTGGTTATATATTAATTTCCTTTCATCTGATCTATTCTACCTAACAGTGCTATATTACACAGGCTTATGACTAGTTCAGTTTTAAGATTTGGCATTTACATAAGAAGTAAATCAGGCTAGATTCTGGGATTAAGAGCACTGGCTCCTCTTCCTGGGTTCAATTCCCCACACCCACATGACAGCTTGCAGTGATGTGTAACTTCTGTTTCAAGAGATCCGATGTCCTCGTCTGGCTTCCTTGAGCACCCATGTGGCACACAGACATACACACAGGCAAGCACTTATACACATAAAATAATAAAATGAAAAAATTTCTAAATAAAAAACAAAAACTAGGAAGTAATGATTTTGAGTTCAGTTCAAGAGGAGTTTCATGACAGAATCATCAACTAGACCGTATTTTGTGACTGGTGCTGAGGAATTGCTAGTGGAGATTTAGACACAAGATCACATCCATGTACACTGATGGGAGACCATACTATATAACAAAAGCCTGGTACCTATACCTAGTTGAAAGGGTAAATGAAGCATATAAAGTTAACAGATTCAAGGTATGATAAAACAAGAATAATATCTTTTATGCAAACTCTCTCTACATTCTAGTCTGTGTTAACTCTCCACAATTTTCTGAAGAGCAAAGAACGCTGTTTTAAGTTTTCCAAACACATCCTTCAATTTTATCCCCCAAAATCCAAAGGAAAAATCTCAATGTCTCATTAAGAAAATCTAGGTTAAAAAAAAAGGAAAGTGGTAGTGATTATTAAAAATTAATAAACCATTTATTTTATAGATTAATATTACTTTCACTTTTGAAATGAAGAATAGGAAAGACTGGCAGCATGATTTAAGAATTAATAAATTATTTTTTATAGAGCAACATTACTTTTCACTTCTAAAATAAGAACACTATACTGTCATTGTGATTTAGCAATCTACAATTTGAAATGTATTTGAAGTAACCTATAAATGAAATATAGTTCTCATTTCTTTCTCTTTCAAGAAGGCAGAAAAAACAAAAATGCCATGGAGCTAAACCTAAACACTTTACCTTTTAGGGCAGAAACTAGACAATTCCAACATGGGATACTTATTCTTCTGAATATCTGAAACACCAGGTTCTTCACTATATCTGGATGGCTCTATTTCAAAGAAACACACAGAATTATCAAACTGTCTTAAAATACCACCATGTCTCTGAAAGGCTTAATATTTTTCCATAACTAACCTTGAACTTTAATAACTTCACTTTCATGCCCTCTGGAACTCTTTCTGCATTTCTCCTAAACTAGTATTTTCCCACTGGGATATACCTTCAGTTTTTTATGACCCAAATGAAATGTCTTTTTCCAACAGTGACCTCCCAACTCAGAGGCTGAATTTATTTCCGTATCACAAAAACAAACAAAAAACAAAAACAACACACATACACACAGGGAAGGAGGACAGACAGATAGACACTAATAGACCCTAATAAAATGCTAAATATAAAGTTGTATTTCCAAACATTAGCTGTCACTTAGCAACCTTCCTTATAGTGATAGTTTAGTCCTCCCAGGCTCTGCAATATACTACTGTTGACCTAAACTCAAAGTCATTTTCTTCCCAGAGAACTTCACTAACTTGCAATGAAAATTTGATGTCATTACTTATTATAAGTTAATTTTCTTACCTCTCCCCCACCACCCACTTACTTATGTATTCCTTCAACCTTAAGAATGCTAACTTATATAATTATTCTTGAGTTCTCATTTCTTCCCATAATGCATTGTATATACAATGAAGCTCTAAAATAAAACATTATTTTTTCTTTAAATTGTTCTTTGAAGAAATTTTTCTCTCAATTAAAAACACTTTCCCTAACTTTTCTAACTGGTATACTAATAACCAATCAATTATTTTGACAAAACCTTTTCTGAACACCAATCCTCACAAAGTTCTTTAGAAAAAGAGATCCTAAATTTTTACATTACAAAACTCAAAATAGAATTATAATAGGTGAGAAAACATCCATAAAGTGGTTGGACCGTATTCACAACTACAACTCACCTGCGCTTAGTCCATCTGCCTCTTTGTCAGAATTACTCCCTCTGAGTTTACCAGTCTCCTCCTTGTATTCCTATGTAAAAAGGCATTTTCTTCAATGGGATACCAGTTTTAAATGATGTTAAGATGAATTTTGTTTTATATTGCTTTACTTTACATGATGAAGATTACTTATAAATGCTAACAGATAGATCACCATTTTAAAAATGGTTAAAAAGGAGGTAAAAAAGCAAAAAAGAATATACAAATTGATTTAAATTTTTTCACTAGTATCTCAAAAATGAAAATTATGAGAAGCTTCACTCCTACTGATTAATGTTTATGGAGCCGGAACGTCTATGTACACTAGCAGAGTAGGAAAGGAATCATGGCTATTATCTAGTTTTAAGCCCTGCAACCTACAATAATGACACACTTGCAAGATATACAAGCACAATGATAATACCCATGTTATTAGAGTAACCAAACACGTTTTAATATTGGATTTAAGGCCCAATCCATGAGAGAGAACCCATACCTGGAATTGCTAAAGTAGCTCAGAACCTGAGACTAGATAGGTCATGGGCCTAGGGGAAAGCCTACTGCTATTATTCTGCTAAATGAACATAGGGATAAAACAACTCCTAATGACATATTGCTATACCCATAGATCAGTGCATTGCTCAATTCTCATCAGAGAGAAGTTTCTTCTTGCAGTAGATAGTAATAAAGAGATACAATGTGATTTTGAAGGACTCAGCTCTAAATGGGATGTCCTTATCAAACTTTTCCCCTCAAGGCTCAGGATCTATGTGGAAAAATAGGCAGAACAACTTTAAGAGCCAAATGACTCCAAGAAAACGGCATTTTCCAGACACAATAGGACTGATGTACATTATGAACTCAGAGACTGTGACATCACACACAAGACCTACACACATTCAAGCCAGACAAAATCCCAGCATAGGGGAAGAGAAAAGAGACACAAAGTCCCACCCCTACATAACAAGCAATTTGCAATTCATACCTGTTAGGAAAGAGAAAATGAGTTTTCTCCAATGAAGTGAGACACTAGATATATAAACCACATTGCAGGACAGGCCCCATGCTCAGAAATAGTTGGCTAACACAAAATGGACTTCATGTTTTTTATTTGCTTTTATCAGTGCTTTGTTTATCCTTTTTTTTTTTAGGTTTTTTTTCTTGCAACACCCCCATGCTGACCCTCTTTTTTATGTTTTTGTTTTGTTTTGAAAGAAAGAATATGAAATTGGGTGGGAAGGGAGGTGGGAAGACATTGTATAAAAATTTTTTAATCCAATTAATACAAAAATAAAACACTTTCCTAGTTAGTTTTCTAATTATACATATTGACATTTCCTTAAAATATGAGGAAAAGCAACGAATATAATCTTCCACTATACAAAAAAAAAAAAAAATGAAAACTAGTTGGTCTTAATCTTTCCAAATGAAAACAAACACACACAAAAAAAACCTCTCAAAATATGTTACTGTGAAAAATAAATCATGAGATGAGATTTACACTAGAATAAAAAGCCCCCACACTAAATTTTCAAACCAAGATTTTCTATTCAGTAAATAATGGAGCTACCATTACCATACTCTCTTTTCTGAAATTCCCAAAGCTAACAAGATAAAGCAGTGGTATTTATAGCAAAAAAAAAAAAAAAAAAAAAAAAAAAAAAAAAAAAAAAAAAAAAAGAAAAAAGAAAAAGAAAAAGAAAAAGAAAAAAAATTGAGATACTAAAGTCCCAGTAAAAGTAAAAAATTTTTTAAAAAATTCAATAATAAGCTCTAAGGAAAAGTAGTGTACATGAAAAGTAAAATACAGAAAGCATCTTTGCGCTATTTTCTAAATCAGACTTTTAGGATTTTCAGGTAAGAACAGTTTATTTCTAATTTCTCTTTTGCCTACCACCCCCTAACCCTCCGCCAGCAACAATGAGCTCTCAGCTGCTGTTCTACTGCCATACCTGCTTGCCTACTACCATGATCCCCACCATGATAATAACAGACAACCCTCTGAATCTGTAAGTGACCCAGTTAATTATTTTTTTGTTTGTTTGTTCGTTTGTTTTGTAAATTACTTTGGACACGGTGCTCTTCACAGCAATAGAATTAAGACAAATATGATACGTATACTTTGTTTATTTGTGTCTTCTGGGTTTTTTAACTTGTTTTTTTTTTATTGTTATTGTTTTGAAATAATGTCTTACTATGTATCCCTAACTGGCCTGGAATCAGACTGCCACGAATTCAGAGATCCACCTGCTTCAGCCTTGAGTACTGGGATTAAAATTCATGCAACCCCTGCCAGGCAGTGGTGACACACACCTTTAATCCCAGCACTTGGGAGGCAAAGGCAGGTGGATTTCTGTGAGTTCAAGGGTATCCTCGTCTATAGAGCTAGTTCTAGGACAGCTAGAGCTGTTACACAGAGAAATCCTGTCTTGAAAAACAACAACAACAAAAACAACAAATAAACACACATCCCCACAGAAATTTGTGCTTACACTTTAATAAGCACCATTATAAATGGCTAAAAAACATTAATCACATCTCAAGAAGATCAGCTATTATTAATTAGCTGTCAACTACTTTTAGTGAGATAGAAATTTCTACAAGTAAATCAGCCTTCACAGAATACACTTCCTTTACCTTTCTTGGTTGATTCTTCTTGCTTCTTTTACTGAGAAGAGGCTTGCCATCAGCAAAGTTGGTAAGAATTACTGCAATGGCAGTAAGAGTTTTGCCCTTCGAAATATTTTTAAAAGACAAATGGTCAGATTCTAAAATCCATCTAGAAATATTTCAAAACCTATTTTAAAATAATAAAATACTAAGTATAAGTCAAAGCCACAGCATGCATGATTACTAAACAATATAATTGCTAATGAAAAATAAGTATTTCACTTAGCTAAGAAAATATTTCTTATACCATATTATAAGTTACTAAATGATTGACTATAAGCCCCACATAGAAAGGTCATTTTATTGAATGACAAACACTCTAGATTGAACTACCATTTTTATCATGAAACTAATATTAATTAATATTCACATGTATAGAGGCCAGAGAAGAATCTCAGTGTCAGTTTTCAGGCACTGCTACCCATGCCCTTTTTGAGACATCATCTCCTCCCTCCGAACCCTCCCATAAACCCCTCCTTTATCTTTCAAACTCATGGCCTCTTTTTTCATTATTGTTGTTACATGCATATTTGCATACACTCATACACTATTTTTACTTGAAAGAACAGGCAAATGACTGAGTGTCTAGGGTGAATTTTCTTGAAAATAATCAATATAAGGTGTAAGATACTATCTTTAAGGAAAACAACAGTATTTCTTGTAAGGGTTAATTTCAATTTTTAATCAAAAGTTAAAATATTACAAAACTTCACCATTACAGTATGACTAAAGCAACTGCCAAGAATGTAACTGCTTTTCTCATAAGATCAGTAGCACTGTTAAAGAATATAAGCTTTAAATGCTGCACGATGAAATGCACTATATGTGGCAGGTCTACAGTCAGTACTTTCCAATTGGCAAGCCTCATCTTAAAATCATTAACAGGTGAAACATTCAATGTACAACATGCACAGATGATAATCAGTAAGTTTAGTAAGTTTTGCCTAGTGGTTAGTTCCTTTAATGAATAAATAGTATTTTATCTTAAAAGCTTTTAAAACACTTGTGAGATTAATACTGACTGTCAACTTTGACAGGAACTTCAATCTCCTGGAAGACAACTGGGATATGTCCATAATGAAGTTTCTAGACTAGGTAAATGAGGTAGGATAAACCACTCTAACTGTGCATGGCACCATTCCATAGATTGGGGTGATCATCTGCATCCATTTCTGCCTCTTGACTATAGGCAAAATATGACCATCTATTAAATTCCTGCCTCTGTACCTTCCCCATGATGGACTGTATCTCCCAGAACTGAAAGTAAAAAAAAAAATTCTTCTCTGAAGTCTGATATGATATCATAGATATAAGAAAAGCAACTAATAATACAATACTTTTCCCTTTACTATATCTGTAAGGAAAAAAAAATCAACACAATCCCAACATACCAAATAAAGTAACAATTTGACAGTTCAGCTGCCACTTTTCCACCTAAGCATCAAAACAACTTGCAAAACTAAATAGTGACATTCTTTTAAAAGCTGTTATTGTTTAGAATTGTCTTTGAAATACGCTACTTATATAAATTTTTGTCTATTGCTACTTTTAATATTCTAAAACTATTTATTTTAATGCCTAATACTATAAAAGTTGCAAAGCTCAAAGTGACAGCTCTATGACCAAACCCACAGGAATGGCTATAGTAACCAGTTACAAATATCTACTATGCTACATACCCACTATTTGAACTAGAATATGGTTTCAAATAACACTGTATTCTTTACTATCACAGAAAAGCTACTATTAAAGACACCAAGAGGAGTTAAATGTGTAGGACAGTAGGTAGGATCCATGCCTAACATGGCTGAAGCCCTAGATTTCATGCCCAGGGTAGAGAAAGAAAGAAAGGAAGAGGGCAGCAAGAAAACTGCCAGGGGTCTGAGGAGTCAAGGTTTTTGTCCTACTGTTTAATTCTGAGTAGGGAACCTTAGTGTTAACAGGGTACAGCCCCTAGGAATGGGGATGGATACTGCTAGAAGAATCAATATCAATATCAACATCAATATCAATGTCACTGCCCATCATGGCCCCACTCTACTTGGGAAGTCCCAGTGGCAGTTAAGCATGAGCTGAACCATGGGGTCTAACTGTCTTCAGCTTACCACTTTCTGGTGCTGCACGTAAGAACAGTGCTCTAGTAGATGGCAGCACTGCTTTCTGTCCTCTTCTCATGTCTACCTTATCAGGCCTATTGGTCCTGATCCCAACCCCTGTCCTACTCTCTTCATCTACTTTATTATTGCCACATTCTGAATTTCTATCATACTTGTCATGGCTCCAGTCTGACTTGTCCCCACACCTGTTTTGTTTCTTGTGGTAGCATCTAACATCCCATCGCTCCTGTCTAACTTTTCATGACTCAAGTCAAACTTCTCAGAGCCTGCATTACTGTTTCTCAATTTCTCAGCAGACCTAGTGACATTGAAGTTGGGGTCACATAGCCATGACATAAACCAAATGTCTATATTCTAGTAGTAAGGGAACCTGTAAGAAGGGACAGCCACCTTGTCCTAGCTTAGCTTGGTGTTAAGTCCCCTAAACAGATAACCTCAAAGTCTGTGGCATCAGCACAGTCCTTGAAAATGATTTCATTCTCTGGAATCTGAGGATGCCTGCCTCTCTTGGTCAAGCAGGTCTAAAGCAAAAGCACACCAAGAAACAAAACAGGCCAGTAGAGTTAAACGGGTTCTAAGAAGGTTGTGAGACTACTGTTTCTCTCACTGTTGACATTACTGCCAATACCAAAGGACTTCTTTTTTAAAGCACAAAATGAGGTATAAGCGCCTCAGCAGGAAATAACTGGGCCTTACTTCATTTTCTACTGTTTTTTTCAATGATGGGAACTGAATTTGATATAATTGACCTTTACTTTTGAAAAACCTTATGAAAGCTGGGCAGCAATGGTGCACACCTTTAATCCCAGCACTCGGGAGGCAGAGCCAGGCGGATCTCTTTGAGTTTGAGGCCAGCCTGGTCTACAGAGCGAGATCCAGGACAGGTATCAAAACTACACAGAAAAACCCTCTTTCAAAAAAACAAAACAAAACCAAAAAAGAAAAGAAAAAGAAAAAATTAGGAATATATGCTTATATGTGGGTAACAGAATACATTAACATTAATGTATTCTGTTACCCATTTTTAACTATTCTTTGTTATTTGACCCATCTATTGGCTCCTTAGAAGCCCCTACTAAAAAAATAAAAAGAAAGAAAAAGAAAAAGTACGCTCTATCTACATTGAAAGCAAACTCTAGTCGTAAACTGGCACCCATCTTTCAACTTTAAAATTTCTTTTTACAAAATTGTAATTGCAAAGTAAGATTTTTCTAACTGAAGAAAAAAATTACCAAACCCATATCATCAGCTAAAATTCCTCCATGGACATTTTCTGGTCGTTCCTTCTCACAAAAATTTGTTATTGTGTTATAATATAAGTCATTTCGCTGTTCCCAGAATGGAGGAAGCTCTTTGCTGTTCTCTCGTGAAATCATCCAAGCCAGAGCTTGTTTTTGGTGTGGAAGCAATGGGGTTTCAATACCCTACAAATACAACATCACAAAGAGAAATATAGTCAGTCTTTTCTCTTTTCATATGCAGAACCTGAGTTATTTTCTTATGGTATGAAATGTATAAATTATCAAAACAATTAATAGTTCTGAAGCTTTACATTTGAGATATTTTTGAGTTCTTTATATTTTCTAGATATCAACCCCAAAACAGACATGGAGCTGGCAGAGATTGACCCAGTGTTCTAAACTATCTTGGCAGTCTATTAACTGTTTCCTTTACCATGCAGAAGCTTTTTAATTTTATGCAACACTATCGGTCAGTTCCTGTAATTATTTCTTGAGTTTTTTAAATTATTTTCTGAAATTGAAATTGTCTATCAGCAAATGAGGAAATGAAGAAAATAGGCATTTCTCAAATCAAAATACAGATAGCCAGTAGATATGTGAAAGAGTGCCCAATGTAGTTAGTTACACACTAAGAATCCATCTTACCCTTGTGAGAATAAATATCATTTTAAAAACAAACAGAAAATGTTCACAAGGACTTAGGAGAAAGGGAACTTTTATATAATGCTAGTGGAAATGTATGCTAGTGCAACCACTATCAAAATCAGTATGAAGGTTCCTAGAAAAGCTACAAA